TACTGCTTAGTAATTAGGATGGTATGGAAAGATAAAAACCAAATTATAGAAAACCCTAAATCCAAAGATAAAATAACTGAATACAATACACTCGCACACTCGCACCTCTAGGGTAACCTTTCTTGTTTCCTTCGAATAAAATAGTCATGTTCCTCGAAAGCAGAGACGCTTTAGCAAAGTCTCTCGAATCAAAGATCATAGTCCCTCAATGACCCTTTTGACGTTGCCTTTCGGTAAATGATCTAGTCCCTTACAAAAATTGCTAAAGCGTTCTTACGAGTTGCCTTCGATGACTGTACGATGACCCTACGCATGTCCCTTCACATCCAACGATAGGGCTTCCTACTAACTAATAGTATGGGTAACACTATCTTAAGAAGGAAGAAAAGTACAAGAAAGACCTTGAGTGGGTAGAATACTGTTAATCGCTTGCTCACAAATTTTTCAAAACAAAACATTTTCACATCACACTTTCAAAACGAAATATTTTTCAAACACTTACACAAAAAAGAAATTTTTAAAAGTGAGTTAAGCGATTAAGAGCCCGTAGATAACTACGGAGGAAAAGTGTGCTAACACCTTTCCTTTTCATAATCTACTCCCCAAACTCAAAATCTATCAAGATCTTTCATGTTCTTTTCACTCTTTTCTTATTGGATAAAAGAAAAGTCGGCGACGACTCTTGCTATCCACAACATTTACGATAAAATGCAAAACAAATCAATTCTCCCACCGTATTACAAGGGGTTTGTTCTGTTCGTTTAGTTCAATACAATTCAAAGACTTCACATGTGTATATGGAAAAGGAGAAATTATGGATAACTTCGCAGATGCACATGCGAAATCACCCTATTTTTGACAAAGTATAGATTAATTCGTAGATGCACATGCGAAATCACCTATTATTATACAATATAATACATTCACATTTGCACATATAAAATCTAGAAATATTTTGGGGTTTTCACAAAATATAATACATTCACATTTGCACATATAAAATCTAGAAATATTTTGGGGTTTTCACAAAATATTTATATGATATGTACATGATATATGACTAACTAAATCTTAGTATTGATGATTGGTACATGATATGACTATATTAATTATGCTTGTACTATTTCCTCATACAAAAATTTCCTATTCTCTTTTTGACATTTCCAACCAGCTACATGTAATGGTTTAAACAAACATCTTTATTTCTTTAGTTTATTCATTTCGAGTCATTTTCTTGACGAAGAAAGAAATTTGGAGTAAGATTAGAATAGGACAAGTATCCTTTGATAACAATATTGAAACAGATAGATAGAGCACACAATAAGGGACCATACCCCATACAAAGTTCCCTTTAATTAATTTTATATTGTATATATCTATATCAACAAGGGTTCAGTATCACAACCTTGTGTCAGTGACCCTTTGAGATTATTATTATGATGTGATACTTGAAACTATATAATATATACATGGTTGCTTCAAAATCAACACAATCCAATATCTACACATATAGGGGACAATAGTACGGATTATTGCCTCATTATTATATATGTATATATATTATGTTATGTTCATTCTTATGATAATAAAACTTTAGGTTAAATTTTCAATGACCCGATTATGACACAAATTAGTAGATTTGCTAATATAATAGTTTTTTTTTCTTTAGCTAGGGAATATGATATGATATCCAAAGTATATAGTTGAATTCTGTGTCACAATCATGATGATGATAAGCTCCACCTTAGTTTTGATTCTTGGATTCTATAATGGTTTTACTTTTGTGAATCATATGCTTGTAGACATGCATCCAATTGTGCAGCATAAGTGATTGCTTAATCCAAACGGAGGAATTTCAACCTTCCAAACTTCTTTTTCCTTTTGCTCTATTATTGTTGTACAAGAATTTCAACTCAATAAATCATCTATATCTTGTTTTTAATTACTTTAAAATTTAATTACTCACATTTAAATTCAATAGTTATTATTTTGTTTTTCAAATTAGAAGTTTCTATTAAAATAATTCTAAATAAAAAAAGAAGATATAAAACATGTCCACTTTGTCAAATCTTCTATAACAAATAAAATAAACCTATACCTTTATCTTTTATAGTTTAACTAATGAAGAAAATAGAAAGAACAGAACCACATGCACATCTTTCTCTACTCATTTACTCAGAAAAGATGATTCTTCATCATTTTTGTACATTCAAGTACACATTGAAAACTATATATCATATATGCTTCTGACACATGAATATTCAAAACTAACATAATCACCCTTTTGCTCTAATTTTTTTTTACTATATGTGAAAAAACAAAACTTGTTAATATCTAGTAGTTAAGAATGAAACAAAAAGTTGTAATAAGTTTTATAAAAATAATTATATAAATATATTATTGACATTGATCTATAGAAGAATGTGACAGCTTTTGAATACAAAAAGGCCATTCATAGAACTAACTCTATATAGTATATTAATAGCACCTACTACTATAGTACCACTGTTTTTTTTTTCTTTGTGGATAGTTAATTAATTAAATCTACATGAAATTGAATGAATGTTCACACATGCCTTAATTCTCTCACTGCTCATTCTTACACAATAATAGTCACTGATTGTGATTGAGAGCTAGCTTTTTATGAGATGTTAAAATTACCCTTTGTTTTGTAGAGTTTAATTAAATTAATTTATGTGATTATTCTTTGTCTTTCCATTCAAATCATGGGATTAGTAACTCTATATACTTGAAAGGTCTACTACTTTTATTTATTTGTTCCTTTCATTCTTTGACAAAATTAATATGCTTTTTAATTATAGTTTAAGTAATTTTTGAATTACTCTATGGTTGTTATTCATTTTTATTCATTTTTGCTCATCTAAATCATCCTTTAGGTCTCATCAAAGATTGTTAAGTAGAAAAATAAAAAATATATTTTATAAATAATTTAATTAATGATTTGAAAAGATTTGAAAAGTCAACAATTATTTACAAAAATATAGATTAAACTCTTAAACAACACACTACCAATTGAATTAGTGTTCATTAATTAGAAAATATGTTGAAATTAAGATATTTTTTTGGGTAACAAAACGTGAAAAATAAATTAATAAAATTATACTAAAAAATATAAATATACACAATAGGTGAAACAATTAGTGGACAACAATTATCATTTTATTGATTTTATAGGTTAGATGCATAAAAGCAAAATTGGGACCACTTTTTTTAAAGGGTCATGATTTTAATACCCATCATACATGCACTTGAATGGGACCCATTGCTTTTCTAACCCATTCCTTTATCTTCTTTTTTTCTTGTTGTTACTCTTCCACAATAAATTAAATTTACAAATTCATAATAATAAGTAAAATTGAATTTGTCAACAAAAAAAATTAAAATAAAAACAAACATATAAAGTATTTCTAGAAAAATAGTTTGGACAAATACTTAAATTTTTTATTGACAAATTGGAGAAATATATTTTTGGAAGCATTAAAGTTGGTGTTATGGTAGTTGGTTCTATTTTCCTTAGCAAATTAATTGCTTTATCTTCAAACTATGGTATCCAACCACAAAAAATACAAAAATAAGTTGAAATTAAAATTAAAATTGGAAATTATGAAAACGACAACAAGATATTTAATGTAAAATGAGCAATAGGATCTCTCCACCCTCTCATTGTTCATCATCATCATCATTATTTTTTTTTCTTTATTACTAAACAAAAAATTAATTAATTAATTAATTAAATTTTATAGAAGAAGACGTTTCCTCGTTTTTCATCTGTTTGTGACTTTTTACACACCTCAATTATATTTTCATATTTTTCATATATAAATATGTATATAATATTTATTTCTTAACATATGTTAGTTTTTTCTTCTTCATCTCTCTCCCTCTCTTTCTCTTTCTTTTTTCATCTCCCCTTAAAAAAATTCATTATAAGGGGTTGTTTGGTTGTATCAAATGATTTGAAAAGAAGAGTCAAATCAAATCAAAAGAAAATTTATCTAATCTATCTATCAATCTTTCTCATGGTTTGATCTATTCATAATCACAGGTACTTCTCCTCAAAAAAACTTTAACATGAAAATAACATATTCATGAATGTGTTCACTTTCATAAAATTTCAACACACACCCAGAATTTCAATTATGAAAAAGATTAAATTTTTCATCAATAAATAAGTGAATAATTCAGTGAAGAAAGATGGGTATTTTTTTTAAACTCTATTTATTCAACTTTCAGTTAAGGTGGAAAATTGCAGAGTTTAATGATGTCTTTGTCTAAAAACAAAATCTTTGTTTCTCTCATGTTTTTGTGTCATTGTTGATATTGAAAATTGTGTGCAGAGATATAGATCATAAAGAAGCAGCACGTGTACACACTTCAATTTACATCACAATCTGCAGGTACTATATCTATATAATTTTTTTTTCATTAACTATATAGAAAAAACTAATTACATAGAAAAAGAAATTTCTATTTTACACTTTTTTTTTTCATTCTTCTTCTCTCTTTCAATCTCTTTGTACTTCTCTTCTCTCTTGTCAAATCACTCCCCTTTGTAAAAAGCTTCCATTTGTGTATTTTTATCATTCTTTTCCTTTTTGAGTTCATCATGTGAGTAAAAGAATTTGCACAAAGAAACTTGTTTCATCCATTCCTTAATTTGGAAATCTCATATCTTATAAGTCTTTGATTGAATTTTCTTCTTTACTAGAAATTTTGTGTTACAAGATTGAATTTAGATTCAATTATTACTCAATTGATAGATGTGTAGAAATATACAGAAATATCTCTCGATTCAATTATTGAAATTTTGTTGTCGATGTTATGTTTTTGTTTATTATATAAGATGTGATTGTGAATTCTGAAATTAATCCAAATACTAACGATTTCGTGTTTTATTTTCTTTTTTCAGATTGAAGTAACAAAGGAAAATAAATTATTTATATTTTGTAATTTTACACAAAATAAATAAAAAAATATCAATGGCGACATACTTTCATAATAATTCAGAAATTCAAGGTGGTTCTACCGACGGACTTCAAACACTGATATTTATGAATCCGTCGGGATACATCAATTACTCCGACACGCCGCCGCAACAGCAGCAACAGAATCTTGTTTTTCTCAATTCAGCCGCCGCACTCGCCGGAAACACTTCACTACAACAACAGAGTTTATCTCATCCGCCACCACAGTTCGTCGGGGTGCCACTCTCGGTGGAACACTCTGTACACGGCCATCATGATGTCTCCGCCCTGCATGGCTTCCCACCGCGCATGCAGTACAACATGTGGAACGCGGCTGATCCAAGTTCGGTGGCGCGTGAGGGAACACGCGCTACTCAAGGACTGTCTTTAAGCCTACACGCGCAAGGGTCGGGCGAGGACGGTGGACAGTGTTCCTCTGTCTCCGCCGGGGTTTCCGGGATTCAGAGTGTGTTCTTGAGTTCTAAGTATTTGAAGGCTACTCAGGAGTTGCTTGACGAGGTTGTTAATGTTAATGGTGGGATTAAGGTTGAAAGTGTTAAGAAGAGTTTTGAGAAAAATAAGGTTGTTGGAGAATCTTCAACGGCGGTTAGTGGTGACGGTGGTTCTGTTGGTGGTGGTGGTAATGGAAATGGAAAACGTAGCTCTGAGTTATCAACTACTGAGAGACAAGAAATTCAGATGAAGAAAGCAAAGTTAATTAACATGCTTGATGAAGTAAGTTTTTGAGTTAATTAAATGAAGCAGAGACACTCCTAACACCACTTGACACTGACACGCTGACACGATAACAGTTAACATGTATAGAACTTAATTAACATAAGCTTAACATTTATTAATTAATGTTTTTTTTTAATTGTTTTGGTTTGAAGGTGGAACAAAGATACAGACAATACCACAACCAAATGCAGATGGTGATATCCTCATTTGAGCAAGTTGCAGGGATTGGTTCTGCAAGAACATACACTGCACTTGCACTTCAAACGATTTCGAAGCAATTTCGGTGCTTAAAAGATGCTATCACAGGCCAAATTAGAGCTGCAAATAAGAGTTTAGGCGAAGATGATAGTTTTGGTGGCAAAATTGAAGGGTCAAGGCTCAAATATGTTGATCATCATTTGAGACAACAAAGAGCTATTCAACAATTGGGTATGATTCATCATAATGCTTGGAGACCTCAAAGAGGATTGCCTGAAAGATCGGTTTCGGTTCTTCGTGCTTGGCTTTTTGAGCACTTCCTTCACCCGTAAGTAATCGCTAAACCTTCTCGAATTCAGATATTATATAGTTAAAGGTTTCTAGTTTTCACGCAGCCAGTCACATAAGTGGTCGCTAGATTGAGATATGTTGGTGTGTATTTCAAACTCGTGTGCAATATATCGTGTATGCTTTCGATCCAACAACCATCAATATGGCTGAATGCGTGTCGTACACTATTAGGAAAGAGTAAAAATAGTAAATAATCATTTTATTCATTGAAATTATAAGAGAGTCGAATTTGTGACGAAACGACTTTTGTTTGGTTACAGTTATCCAAAGGATTCTGATAAACATATGCTTGCAAAACAAACAGGACTAACTAGGAGCCAGGTAACCTCATACTTCTTCAACAAGTTTTGTTTTTTTATTTCAAACACGAGCGCAAACACAATCTCTAACGCACTTTTTTTCAACGCGCTTTTCTTAATTGATCATGTTAATTTAAAACATGGTACAGGTTTCGAATTGGTTCATAAATGCACGAGTTCGACTTTGGAAACCAATGGTGGAAGAAATGTACACGGAAGAGATGAAGGATCAAGAGACAAATGGTTCCGAGGAAAACAAATCAAGCAAGAACACCGATGAAGATCCTTCGATGAAAACACCAACTCCACAAGAAAGAGTTCCAACTTCAGAAACAGAATCCAAAAGTTTCAATTCTAAACAAGACATTTCTATAGTTCCGGTTTCAACGCAATCAACTTCACCAATTGGTGTCAATGTTAGAAACAATTCAGGATTCAGCTTCACAGAGCTTGATGGAATAACACAAGCGAGTCCGAAAAGAACAAGGAACCATGAGATTATTCATTCTCCGAATCATAATGAGACGGAAAATAATGAACAAATTTCGATGAAATTTGGTGACGATAGACAAAGTAGAGATGGTTATTGTTTCATGGGAAACCAAACTAATTTCATCGCCGGATTTGGTCAATACCCTATGGAGGAAATCGGAAGATTTGACGCGGAAGAATTCGCGCCGAGGTTTTCAGGTAATAACGGTGTTTCACTCACTCTTGGTTTACCTCATTGTGACACATTATCAAGAACACATCAAAGTTTTTTACCAAACCAAAACGTTCAACTAGGAAGAAGGTTGGAAATGAATGAAACAAATGAGTTTGGTGCTATAAACAATTCAAATTCTCATTCTTCGGCCGCATTTGAGAGTATCAACATGCAGAATCCAAAGAGGTTCGCTGCACAATTGTTACCCGATTTTGTGGCCTAAATAAGATATCGAAATGTGTCACGCAGTTTTTGATCTAGTCATTTGATCAAAATCAATGGCGGAGAATGTGTAACCTTATTCATGTGATCTCGGATTGATGGCCGAGACATTTTACGACGCGTAAATGTGTACTTTTGATCCTGCGGGGGATCTTGATTCTGTTTTTCTCTTGATTTGTTGAAATCTGTGTTTTTACTTTGGGAAGTAGTGAAGTGTTATAGTGTATAAAGAAAGGAGGGATTTTATTATTGTAGTATAGGTTTATACCCTGCATTGCATAGAACCATTTGAGTTCTTAGATAGTATAGGGATTTGAAAGTATATGGTTGAGGTTGTATATTATTTTTGTAAGTTTTGAAGATGGGATAGATGAGTTTATATATATCATAAAGTTTCAATTGGTAGAGATAACAATATGTCTTCGATTGTCTTATGATGTTTTTTTTGCACTTACCACTTTCTTTTCTTTTTGTTTTGGCAACCATTAGCATTGATTCTAATACTTTAAAAATTGGACCATCATCAAACCGATAAGGATATTAGATTACTAGTTAATTGTTCGAACTATTAGATTATTGGTCGAATTATATGATTAAATCGGATAATTCAATTGAATAAATTAATTTATTAAATTGGTCAAAACGGATGACTTGATCTTTAAAACGGATGACTTGATCTTTAAAAAAAATTATACCACTTACAAATTTTTAAATTTTTAAAATATCATAATTTTACAAGATTATTCTTTAAATTCAAATTTTAAATATAGTTATCACACACAAATAAAATAGTACAAAATATAAATCCAAATAAATTTTAACAAAGTCTAATTACAACCTAAATTGAATAATGAAATAATTGCAATTGTCTAATCAATTTAATTCTAAAGAGAAAAAGTTGTTACAGTTAATTGTGAAACAAAATCTACTTATATTTTAATTTGAATTTTTGTTTAAATTATCAAAAATGATATTGTTTTGTCTGAGAAAAAAAAGTAAATATTTAAACCATCGGTTCATCGATTTTGGCTGATTCTGATCGATTTTTATTAGTTCAATAGTTTATCCAATCCACCAATCACACTAGATCAATGACCTTTCGATTTTTGGTTCAGCTGATTCAATAAACCGATTCAGTCTGATTTTTTAAACATTGATTGATTGAATTGTCAAAGGGAGCATATTAATGTAAGAGTTTTATAAGGTGAGGCCTATGATACCTTTGTAAAGTTGGGTAAATTACTTCTTTATGTTCCACCAATTAATATTTTAAATATTTAAAGGATCATTAAACCGGTGAGAATCTTGAGTCACTAGTTTATTGGTCGAATTATTGGGTCATTGGTCAAAGTGCATACTAAACTGGATTAAACTGAATAACTTTGTTAAAATAGCAGTCTCTATAATAAAATTATATATTTATTAAACTAGTTGAACCAAATGACTCAATATCTAAACAATATCACTCACACCTACAAAATTTTAGAATTTCAAAATATTACAATTTCACAATTTATTATTTAATTTTAAATTCTAAACATAATCATCACACACTGAAATTCTGGTATGTCAGACTTCAGATGTTCTATGACACGTTGAGACATCTAAATTCGACTAAAAACAAACATGGCAAGGTATAACAATAAAAACAGTATTGAAAAGCATAAACAACACATAGACAAGTCAACTATAATAGTATCAATTTGAAGTTAAACTAGTCCTAAGTTTACAACTCACTTAATCACTAAAAACTTGATCGGAAAAATAGCGGGTGTACTATTTTACCTCTTGTAATAACAGGGAAAATCCTCCGAATGTCAGTCTCAAGGACTGCACAAAATTATCGAATTTAATGCGAGGTTCAATTAAACAAAACTCGATTTGAGGTTTGGTTTGGTTATTGTACTTAACAATAATTAAAAATATGTGAAGGTAAATTATGACTTTTTATACTGTGAATACTATGCTAAAGTGAGTGTGTGATTTGCCCTGGAATGACCTTCACTGTTGATCTCTTCTACAAGTTCATTACCTTCAACTATCGGCCCTTTAGATTATTTTCCTCTAAATCCTTAGTGAGAAAACCTTTAACCATCAATCCTAAACCCTAAGTCCTTAGAAATATCTGATGGAGCCAAGCCTCTATCTTATCAAGGGTTAAATTCAGTGACTATAGGGTATCCCTAGTCCTAGGTGATATCTACTATAGCCTAGTCGTACAAAAACCTTAACAACCGCGGTCCAACTGGTTGTTAATCGTAACTCAATCCTAATTGGTCTGATCAGAAAAGCATTAGAAACCTTGAACGATTAAATTGAAAAGAAACTATTGCATTCAAAATCAATAATTCATAGTCAATATATTTGCAAATCAGGGACACCCCCTAGCATTGGGGGTTTAGCTACACATAATATTCAAAGAGATTTCAATAATAATAAAGATAGACATTAAACAAATTAATGGTGAACTCTGATCTTCAATTGCTTCCGCTCATGAAAGGTCTTCGTTCTCCCAAAACTTGCATATACTTCAAACTTTTATCGTCAAATTCTCCAGTCGTCCCCAAAAGTCCTCTTTTTCTTCTCCAAATCAGGTATTTGTAGTGTCAGGTCATCCCTCTGCGATGCCAAATGTCCAAAGTATCCTTAATGATCCAAGAATACGAGAAAATCTCAAAATTGGACTTTCACACGCCTAAGCTGACACAGGCCGTGTCACCAGACACGGGCACCCGTGTCCGAATCTGTGATCTGTGCTATTCAATTTCAGGTTCCGGCTAAATTGACACGGGCCGTGTCATGGGACACGGGCGCCCGTGTCTCCTTAGGTCCTTCGTCCAACAACTCATGCATTAACTAACTTGACACAGGCCGTGTCGTGTGACACAGGCGCCCGTGCCGCCTTCTTCCTTGCTCGAATATGAACTTTTTCCAAAGCTCTAAATCATGCACTTTTCTGTTCCGATTTGTCCTATTTTATTTGTTTGAACCTGAAAACACTAAAATACAAAACTAAAGCATACAACGCGGTAAAATGAAATAAAACACCAATCAATTAAACAAAACGATAACTAAAATAAATGATAAATTCCTGTGTAAAAACCAATGGTCACACTACCCGTGCTAACTTTCTATCTAAGACTCTCCTAAGTATGAGGCCCTCCTCAACTCCCTCATCAATCACAGATAGCGATTGGATCAAAATAAAAAGACACACTTCCATGATGCAAAACCAGAAAATACACTTCCATGATAATACCTAGCCAAGTTTCTTGACTAAGAACACAACTTGGAGTTACTTAAAAGCTTTCTCCAAGAATAATACTCACTCTTACTTCATAGCTTCGAGGAGAACAATAATAGAGACTACAACTCTATAACATCAGTCCAACTCACAACCGAGTGGAACACACAACCAAATATCTTAGAGAGTGGTATAGACTCAGCCCTAATGACTACATCTTTACATTCACGACTGGTACCTTTTCTAGGTTACAATGCTTCTATTTATAACCTCTTTTCCAACTGGATTTAGGCTTGAAATCACAACATATCAGTTGTTACAAATCTGCAGTAGATTCTGCAACAAAATAGTTCTTCAATCAAATTTTTCTAAAAATTCTCCTTATTTAAAAAGTATATTTTCCTCTTGAATTCTGATTGAATCTTCCAGACCTACAAAACAGCGCCACATAGGATATCATAATATTCCCAGAATATTCTGCATCTGTTAAAACATAATAGAATCCAACAATCCATCTCAACTCATGCGCGATATCGTATGACCCTGTATATGACATCTTATCTGATATTTTGCTCCATATAATGAGAACTTCTCATATCAACATGTCTCAACATAAAATAGGACTTCTTGCTCCACCTGTTCTTCATAGTAAGTAATTATATGTTATTTAACATATTGCTACTATATTTGTTTTACTAAAATTAATACCAATCCTAAAAATAGAGAACTAACAATCTCCCCCTTTGGAAAATTTTGACTAAAACAAATAACATAAATTACAATCTTCAACAGTAGTCTTCAGTAACTACTGAACACAACAGCACACGGCAGCAACCATAAAATGGAACCATCAGAGCAGTTAGTCTTCACATTTTTGACAGTCTTTAGTCTTTATTGTCTTCACTCATGATGTCACAACATCTTGTCATGACTTCTTCATGACAATCCTACATATACTCACCAACCAATAGGACATCTTCATAACTGTCCAACACATATTCTCTCCCCTTTTTAGTCAGAATATGACAAAGGTAGCAAGGAGAAGTAAAAATCTCAATCTGCTCGACTTCTTCTTCACAGCATTCTGAATGAGCTCCAATACAACATATTAAACTCAACACCAAAGAACATAAGCCTCGGGATAAAAGGAGTAAAAAGTCTTAAAGTCATTTGGTGTACATGAGAAAGAATATAGGAAACACTAAATACTCCCCCTCAACCCAGAAACTTAAAAGACCAATGATGGCATAAGAGAACCCTTAATCAACAACCAACCACCAACCTACCACCAACTCGGGTAACTCAGAACACGGGTTGCAATTGTGTTCATAACTCATAGCACAAGTCACAATACAAATAAAAAATAGCAAGACACAAAATAGAACTTCTTATTTGACATCTTTGCAAAACAGCCCCAAAAACAAACATCAGACTTATCGTCTGAACAAAACCTTTCTCCCCCACTTTTATCAAAAAGTGACAAACAAACCCTTCACAAAACCAAACCCAAACAGAACTCACCCATACATTGACAAAATCCATAAGAATTATGGAAACACCAAATACTCACAGGGTGAAAGAGGAAAGAGTAACCTCTATAAATATCTGAGCAGTCACTTCGAAATTAACGATCTTTGAATATGACAAAGTTCTTGGTCAAAGAAAACGTTATTTAACGAGAAAAATTGCCACCAAAATCAATGTTCACCGCCTAAAATTAGTCTTGACAGCCTTTAATGTCTCTACAATGTTTCTTG